CTTTTTTTTTTTTTTATATATATTTATAATGAGAGATTGTAATAGATTTGGTGGTTCTTGAGCATATAAATATATGAAGGCTAGAAACTTATTTAAGGACTAAATGGTGAATTATTCATATATGTTTATTTATGCACACATATATGTGTGTATATATACAGAAGATTTTGAGAGGGTGTTAATTGCTTCTAGATGTGAGTTGGTGGAGATTGGCTTGAGAGTGTGGATGTTGGTGATATGGGCTAGTGGGCATCATTATTTATACTTACAATGGCAAACTATCATAAATTGGGTAGCTTTCACCTATACATGTTTGCAGTACATACGGTTATAAACTAGTCGAGCCGAGTCGAGCTCGAGCAGCATATTGAGCCCTTAACGAATTTATAATCGAGCTCAAGCTCGACTCGTTTATCAATATTAACGAGTTGAGCTTGAGCCAAAATCGAGCCGAACTATAGAAAAAACGCAAAAATCAAATTTTCAAACTTTAACGAGGCTTATCGAGCTGAGTTGTTGAGTAAACGAGCTTTACATGAGCTCAAGCTTGAATCGTTTGATGAGCCGAACTTGAGCTTTAACGAACCAAGCCGAGCCGAGTTCACGAGCGGCTCATTTCATTTAACAGCTCTAAGTGTACATATAAGGTTTATTATTTATATATACGAATTTTCCATCATCAAATTAACACACTCTAATGTGAGTGTATGCGTGTTTGTGTCACCCAACAGTGAAAAATTTGGTGTGTGCAATGCATACACATGTAGACTTACCATGGAAAATTATCATGAATTGGGTAGATTTTACCTACAGTTATTTGCAGTGGTGTACATATCGTTATATAATATATATATATATATATATTTAAAAAAAGTTTACCGTTGAATCAACACACTCTTATGTGAGTGTACGCGTGTTTATGTGGCCCAATAGTAAAAAATCCAGTGTGTGCATTGCATACACATGTGGACTTACAATGGCAAACTATATATCTTTTACCTATAGGTGTATCGTGAAATTTTTTTATATATACGATTTTTATCGTTGAATCAACACACTGTATTGTGATCTAACAGCGAAAAACTCAGTATGTTCACTGCATACACATGTGAAGTTATAATGGCAAACTATCATAAAGTTGGTAGGTTTCACGAATGTTTACAATGACCAAATCGTTTGTTTTTTTTTTTTTATCTATCTACTAGCTGATGCATTTAATAAAACATTTAATAAAACCTATTTTCATTTCCCTCCAAAAGGAGTTACATTTTTTTTAATTAATTACTCACTAATCTGCTAAAACCGTTACACCTTAATATATATTTTTATTATTTATTTTTTGGATCAGTTATTAAATTAATTTTAAATTTGATAGCAAAATATTCAAATGTGTAACGGCTAATGTTGGAACTTAAAGTTGCTTGACACGTTCAGAGCTGTAACTATATTTGGTTGCATTGTTGGAAGAAAAATATGACACATATTTTTTTTTTCTAAAAATCAGAAACACCAATAATTTTTTTTATTTATGTTAATTTTCTTAATATATGCCATAGATATATAAATTATTTTATTCATGTTACTAATGTAAACGCAGCATGGTTAAGGTTAAATTTAAATCTCAATTAATTTTGAATGATAAAGTTAACTTAAGAAAAAATAATAATTTTTATATGATAGAAGTATATGTTTAATTAATAAATACAAACCAAAACGTGTTTTATATATGTGCAAATGTACATGATCAAATACTAGTATAACTTTGATCAACACACACTCATATGAATATGTATGTGTAAGTGTACGATTCAACAGTAACAAAATTAGGGATGTGCACTCATACACATGTAAGATCGAATATTTCCATAAATTGAGGCATTTATAAATTTAGGTGAAATCGACTATAATTTATAGGTAATTTTCAGGTGGGTTAAAGACAAAAGGTATTAAAAATTAGGAGGGTGATGTATATCTCCTCCCCTTTTTTTTGGCCAAACTCTGAACAACCTTTGATTAATAATTTAACTAACACTAACAAATTAAATATCGGCCAACCGGCAGATGAACCCAACAAAATATTATATAGAAATAAGTAAACAAATTTAGGAGTCCCATTCAAATTCAATTGGTGTCATTTGGTTGTTCGGAGCAATTTACATGTTCTATTAATGGTATTTGGTCATGTCCATCCAAACATGTACCTTACCACGTNAGTGAATTATTACTCAATTTTTTTAGGTTGTGTAATTTAAAAAAAAAAAAGCATCCTATTTTAAATGTATGAAAGGGAGTTGAGGATGGATGGATAAGAAAGACAAAAGTGAATTGTCAAAACCACACAATCATGATTGGAAATTGGAAATTTGGAATACGAAACTCCAGCAACGACACTTAATTAATAATGATATATATATACACTAATAAAAGAGGTGAATATGTAAGATTAATTTGACCCAAAAGGTTAAAACGAGTAAATGTGTTGCTGATTAGTAATATATAACTCTTCCATAATTAAAGTTATTGTGGTTGGGGTTTGGTAGAAATTATTAATTATATATTTGTGAATTTGATTAGTGGATTTTTCTCTTCTAACTTTTGTTTTTTCCAAAACACAAAAACGATTCTATTAAAACTCAAAAATAGTACAAACGGTGACCAACTCTTTATTACAAAACATCATTCTAACTATCAGACGCTAAAATGAAACTAACTATGAGACGATAAAATGAAACGAGTCAGAAAGAGTGACCAACACATAAGAGCTCCCCCCTCCCCCGCCACTCATACTGTATGAGTCATACAAAGGAAACAAAATGCTTCATAAAAGAAGACTAAACTATTCCACAGGAGATTTAAAAAACAAAAAACAAAAATAAAACTAATAATAACATTGAAATGTAGTGATGGTAGGTGGTTGTACTTTTATTATTCTAATGGAGCCCCCTAACATGCACAATATATGTGTTATTTTATAGTAGATTTTGTTATAAGGCTTCTAGAAGGAGTAATTGGGATATAACACAAGAAAGAGCTAAAAGAAATGAGTGTAGTTGTGTGTGGACTCTCTTCTTCACCTTCCACTTTATCTTTGTTTTTTCCCTTTTGCGTTAGTCCATGTCCATATAACCTTGTGGTACCAAGTTTAGGCATCAAAATTTTGTTTTGCAAACCAATTTTATGTGCATTTACTCATGTATTTTTTATGACGAGTCGACACGTCTAATCATTAAGCTGACTCGTGGTGCGTTCTTATATCTTTATATTCTTGTGAGCTTCATACATGGACCCAACCACACTTTTTTTTTTTTCATCTAAAAATTTTTGTGCTTGTGATTTAAGAAGGTAGAGAGAGAAAGCGAGGTGCCCACTTGTGTGCAATTCATGTGTTCATTTGTTACCTAACTTTTCCTCAACTGTCATGGCCCAAATTTGGCTCCATCGTTTTGATGTTGAATTATGGAACGGTGTGTGAATTTATTTCCATACGAACGTTATCTACTCCTCGTCCATGGAACATTCATTTCGAATTATATATTAAAAACGATATTTTTATAGGTTCATATTTTAGGCCATTTTTTGTATGTGAAAGACATTGGTTTTTATTATAATAGTGATTTCGATTTTCGAGTCCAACGTTTGTTTTGATTTCTTCCGGAAATACCCTACGAAGACTCGTGAAAGCTCAAAACTTGTATTCTACATGTTTCCCATCAATAATGCAAAAAATTGAAAAAATAAAAAATTAAAAAATCGAATATCCTAATGGAAGTAGGCAAAATATGGTGTGCAAATTAACTTTTTGTGGGCATCATGTGCTTAGGTGTAGTACTAAGACCTGTGAGTTTGTCCTAAAGAAAAGGCTGTACCTACCTCTTTCTTAGTCCTTTTCTTTTTTTCCCGTATCAGGCCCCTCCACTATTATTAAACCTTGGTGAAAATTTGAAGTTATGAAGGTTACATTACTTATTAGGTTCTGTTTGGAGTGACCCAAAATTTGGTGGGACTAATTTTTACTACTTTTGAGTTACATTTAGCTACCATGATGATATTTTGATTTTTGGCAAGCTCAAGATGCCATAAAGGTTAGTGAACATGAGATGAGCAAATAGCGAATAAGAATTATTCCTTATTGTTAGAATGAATTGCAGATCGAGTCATAAATAATACACTTGACAAGCATCTCTTATTCTTCTCATTATAGTATTATATCCAAATTTATAATCAAAATTTTGCCAACACATTAGTTGGTAATTAGCCCTCATCTTACATTGATAAACAACAATGTAGCTTGATGATGAGTGGTATTTAACATTGTACACAAAGTTGGGGCCTTTTGTTTTTCCTTTTTTCCAATTGAAAGACAATTATCCTCTTCCCATTGAAAATAGACTAATTATAGGAATAGAGTTCTCACATACACATCAATCTCTATTTTTATTTTTTATAAGACAGCACAAAGGTACACACACACACACAACACAAGAAACTTCAAAAGTTTTGAACTTGCACCGTGTTAATTAAAATCGAGATGCTCAAAGTCAAAGGAACAATAATTGGGAAAAAAGGAAAGAACATAGAATCTCTAAACACAGTTTAGAAAAGGAAGATTGGTGTTTGATTTTGCCTTAAATCTAAAGGGATAAGTAATAGCAATATCTTTCTTACTATTGTGAGGGAGCAATTTTCGAATTGAACAACACCTATACTGAAACTTTTTTATAGGCTTTATAACTTCATAAATTGCTCTTGGTGACTATCCAATGTTTCACTTCCAAATTCCAAAATGAGATTTTCAAAAAAGGGTCAAACTAACATAGTTTTCTACACCACACGATCACACATTTACCCATACTTACTACATAGTGGGNGTCAAAGAGTGCAAAGCAAAAGTCACACCTCATTAGCCACAAGCCCAAATCACCTCCATAAGGGCAGGGACTTTCTGACTCAATCATTCAGTTTTGTAATCAATAAAGCTCCAAATGTGTTTTATTTTTGGAGTTGCAACAATTACAAATATATTGTTCAGAATCGAACGAGACATGCAAACAAATAAATGCATACACGTTTTCGGCTTAATTCATCTTCTTCCGAACTTCATAAAAGTAACTCAAGACCACAACTGCAGCGGCAACTGCAATTCCAACGGCACTCTGGGCCAATATGGTGCCATCTTTCACGAATGCCTTTGCACCAGATTGGGCTGGGGTAAACCCTAATTCGGAAAGTTTTTTGTGTGATTCAGCATAGTCTTTGAAGAAAGCATCTTCATCCTGATTGTGCAAAAATAAAGTAAATATATATTAATTGGGGAGTATAGTCTGCAGATTTCAGGCCGAAGGACAGACATTTGATACAATCACCACTATTAGCACTTGTATTTTCAGAGCCAAATTTTATTTGGGTCATCAAATTTGAATCTAAATCAATTTCACAAGTGATCACCTACTGTTTAAAGAAGAAGAACTGGTTTTGCAAAGTTAATTAATATTTGAGCTGCTTTATTGTGGTAATTGCATAACAACACACACACACACACAAGATACAATTATTGTGTGCTGATTGTAGAAATAACTACTTACGATACTTTACCTTAGCATAAAGCTCAACATAACGTCTAAACTCAGGATCATCCAGCAATGCAACATCAGTTGGGAGTTTTAGCAAACCCTCAGATTCCCCCTTAAGCAATTCCCTGGTTCAGATGGCGTAAATCAAAGACACATATAGACAGACAGAAAATATAGAACATGAGTACATGGAGCTCGAACGAATTACTTGAAGTATGAATTATCAAACTTCAGTGGCTCTGCAGTCCAAGGGCCATCAAAGCCAGATCTCTCAGGATGTGCCCTTCCCTGAAAACATTATTATACTTAATTGTGTTAGAACAGATTTTTTTTCCCCCTTAATAAATAATAATTCCCCCTCACTTTTGTCTCAATCTCTTCTTTCCTTAAATTGTGTTATTTTATCTGTTGCAACTTGAGTGGGGAAAACAAAGTTCAGTGGGTAGTATATTAAATAAAAAAAAATTGAAATGATAATTACCAGGGTGTGGCCACCAGACAGTGCCACTATGTCTTTATCAGACACGCCCATACGATAGAACACCTCCCGAAGGTGTGGCACGCCTAACAATAAAATTTCAAAAGAACATTAGAAAATCATCAACCAGTTTCCTTTAAACAACAATCTTCGAGTTTCTCCATTCTGGAGACTCTTGTACTCACAAGTAAACCAGACTGAAAATACAAGCCGGGCCCTATATACCGTTGGGAAAATTAATACTGAAGAACTTAAACAAGAAAGTGGGTATCATTTATATCTCACGATGTTACAGAAGAATTTCAATTAAAAACCATGGGCAAAAAGATATATTGATTCCACAAAGTACAAATTTAAACCAAGTGATGTTATGAACAACTAAAACTTCCACAATATTTAATTCAACCTTTAGTAGCATCTGGAAGCCGCCCTTCCTTTGGAGAAATCTTTGAATCCTGAAAGAAACATGAGGTGGCTACCACTAAGATTTCTGTCGATGAAACTAAAATACAAGCCAATGGATGGACGGAATGTAACTGAAATCAGTTTCAAAAGTCCCATGGGAAGACACAACTCAGCCTTAATCAAATGACAAGATTCATTATATTTCTATGAAATAGACTAATTGTACCTTTCTACCAGGAACAAAATCAATTGTCGGGCCTCCAGTGACTTCAACGGCGACAACGCCTGCAAGCTGTGGGCAGATTAATTTGGTTACAACTTAGAAGCAATTGCTCTTGATTTATCCACCTATTGACATGTTACCATGAGATGTTGGAAAGGCAGAATGCAGAATAGAAGGTAAATTATCTTGAAGAATACTAAAGATGTTATTGGACAATTCCATCCATAATAGATGCAACTGAATGTCACTAACTTTAACACTAGGTTCACTAACAATGTTTCAGAGAGACCGAGAGACCAAGAAACTACCTGGGTGTATGAGTAGAGTTTTCCTCACTTAAGCTTTTAAATATTCTATTTTAGACAGGCAATTCATCATCCAAGTATTACAGTTCCTTTTGTTCGTGACTATTTTAAATTTAAATTCTATTATTCCATGTTTATGTGAAACAGGATTTTATCCTGTACAGCCAGACAGCTGACTTGGCATAGCAAGATGACCTCTCTTATGATGAGGTTTTAATATGCTAATCCATCCAACGGTTATTCTCTTAGGCAGGACTTTTAGCATTCTTTGTCCTATTCACTGTACTATGCGGGGTTGATTAAGTTGCAGAATACACAGCAGCCAGACAATGAAGCCTCCAAAGCATTAGAACAGATTACCTGATACAGATCTGCATACGTAATTCTTGGGCATTTAGACTTCACTTGTTCTGCAACCAGATAACACACCAACATAAGAAAAGGTGCAATTGTACACTTACGAGATAAATACTCGTCCAAAAAAATAAGTTCAACAGTACAAAACTGAACAGTCAAATCAACACATATCAATAAGAGTGCAATCCTATCCTCAGGGACGTATCACATCTCGCAACAAAGAATCTTTTCATCTGTTGGTGACCATGACTCAAGCTAAGCTACGGAACACGTACTAGAGGATACAATGCAGTGCATCAAATATATGTTTAACAACAGGTTAATCTAAATCCTGACAACCAATATAACATCCCAATACCAAATATGAAACAACCGAAAGCTGACATTCTAAACGTAACAATAAAAGTCATATTCAACATACAACACTCAATAGTTCTACTCAATGCATTCAGCTGGTATAACATAGAAGACAACCAAACGCGAACTCCATCTCAATAAAAAATCACAAAACAATACTAACCACAGAAATCGATCGCGATTTTCAAGCCACTGTTAGCTCCGTGAGCGCACTCCTCTTCATTTCGAATCGAACCATTCGGACCTCCAGTCTTCGTGTTCACATCATAAGTCCCCGCGTCATGCCATCTACTCAGCCATAACCCAATTCACAAACCCAAAACTCAAAAAGTATTCCAATACAACAATCAAACTCTACTCGCCGAGCTATCACTACGTTTAAAACGAGAAAAAAAGACGGAGTAGAAAGAAGGAAAATGAAAATTTACGCCAAACGCAGCATAATTGGAGCACAGTTTTTGTTGGCGATGAGAGCGCGAAGCTCGCGGCGAGCTCGCTCGATCTCCTTCAGGTACTCCGAGTCGACGATAACCTTGGCCATGGCGAGAAGCTCTGAAAATGGGGATGGTATTTTTGGGATTTTTATTTATGTGATGAGATGATAATTTTTTGAATATATCGACTGGCGTTAAATATACGATTGGGATTGCTGCAGCTCCAAGGCTGGAATTTCACTCATCTAACTTTTCGCAAAAAAATATGGGAGAGGCAACCAATGGGCTTGGAAAATGAGCCCAGCTATGAGATGGATCAGGGATAAGGTATGGGCCGTTTTTGGCATTTATATGCACAGATTTTCCTATTGGCCATTACGCACAATATTTACGGATTTCCTGCTTTGGATTAGTAAAGGCATTGCTTTTTCACCACTAGGCTTCGGATTTTCCTTTCTTTCTTTATCACTTGGAAATGATAACTGTAGTGCCTTATTGGATATGTGTCATTTTAATCAGTTGAGTTATTTCATACTACCAATTAAGATTCAACTAAATCCAATTCTCCTACTTTTTATTAATATAATAAATAATATCAATCAATCATCTTCACACCTCACATTAACTATAATTCACTCACATAATTTTAACTATAACCCTCAATAACTTATCTCCTACTTTTACATTACATCAATTTTAATCATGACTAAATATTATTTACTTAAAAAACTCAAATCATAAACTCAATCAATTTTATTCAAATAACTACTTTAACCAATCAGTTTGATTCATATCCAATCATGTTCCACGTGATTCAGTTGGTTGGATTTTTTTTATATATTTTTTTTTTTGGCAAATTGGTGGATTTCAGAAATTAAATAAAAAAAATCAGTTAAGAAAATAGGACCCATTAAATTTAAAAAATACATATATATTGGGAACAAACTAAATTCAACAGGTATATTGCTATTTTTTTCCCTTATTTGTTCATATAACAAAACATCAATCTTTATACACAAGCAGGAAATGACAAAAACAGAAAATGGAACTCAATAAAATGCACACAACCAACAAAGTCGCTAGACATTGATATACACAAGCACAGCATACACAATCACCTGTGTTACCTCGTAAAACCCAAACTCTCTAAATATATTAACCGTCTCACAGTAATTTCATGCTCACACTTTAGAAGTGTTTAAGAAGATGTTCCTTGTTTCACCCTTGGCGTGTTCACTTCTCTTAGGTAACTGAAAAAGGGTTCGTTCAGTAAAGATCAAGATGATGTTCGCCACTGAAGCTCGATCTGTATCCTTCCATTCTTCGAGTCTATGAGATGGAACTTCTCGTTTATCCTTTTGTTGTTGACTACATCACCCAGGCTGATATCGACATAACCCAATGTCTCCTGATTTCACGAAAAAAACGAGATGTTCGTTACGCCAAGTTGGCAAAAAAGCTCAAATACTAAGGTAGATTTTTTTTTTAATATATATATATAAGGCGTTCGGGAAAACCTTGGGATGCAGCAGGCCGATTCTAGTGGAGGTGCTAAGTACCTCCACATGAATCCTGTCTTTCACTGGAGGTTCTTCAAGCATGAATGTGAACTCCTCTTCCCATCTCGGGTCTCGATTTTTCTTTACTTGCTGTATTAATTAATAACAATTGTTAGAAATTATCCAAAAGCCAAATCGACCCACAGACACGCTGAATAGAGTTCCACAACGTAAAGCATCATCTGACAAACAAATCATTAAAAACAGTAGATGGGTCTCTCCTCAGAGGCAATCGTTTGCTTTCAGTTGATATTTTCAGTTAGGAACATTTTTTTACTTTCTCCAATAAATTATCCGTAAAGAGACCTAAAACTACAAGAAAGATGAGGTATAGTTACTAAAAACTACCTTTCACAACTACCAATACCCCCTTATGGTGTTATACAGACATCCAAGAAAAATCTGTCTTTGCCTAAAAATAATCTCGCGTTGAATTTTCAGTTGCAAACTAAAAACAAATGTCTAAGGGTACATGTATTTTTGGAGTATAAACTAGCTTTTCTGAAATTAGACAAAACTCCAAGGTTACTTTTTCTCGATTTCCGGAAAATTTAATAGCAGCAAAGGTATATGTTTTGTACTCCCTCCTATTCATAATAAGTGTCGTGTTGGGAAGTTGCACACTAATTAAAAATAATTTTTTGCCAATAATAACCCTCATTAATGAAGATAGAGATGGATGTTTTAAAAAAAAAAAGATGAAAGAGAATATGAAAAGACGTAGTGTATGAGAGTAATAATGGAAAAATATATACAAAAGGTCCAAAACGACATTTATTTTGGTTAATAGTGGATAAAGCCAAAATGACATTTAAAAAGAATAGGAGGTAGTATATGTTTTGTGAGGCAATTTAGGCTATGCTTGGTAAAACTAGTATAACTGATTTTCGAGCTTATAGCTAATAGCTTATGACTTATAGCTGAAAAAGCTAGCTTATATGGTATTTGATAAAATTAGTTGATAAGCAGTAAAATTAGTTGATAAGCTCAACGAACCTATTTGAAAAGCTATCCAAAGAAATAAGCTCAAGTTTTTTGAAAAAACTTGTCCTACCAAACGAAACTTATTTGAATACATGAAGCTTATACGCTAACCAAATAAGCTATATAAGCTATAGCTTATTGGGTTACCAAACACAGCCTTACTACAAAAGACGAGCATTACATGGAGTAGACAAAACAACATTGAGGAGGGTATGTTAGATCAGCACCTTAGTTTTACGCTCCTCCCCTTTAAATATGATGCGAACATACGGGTTAGTGTGATGTTTCCCTTCAACATCTTGAGCTTCATGAACAATGATGACCAATACACCTCCACCGGCTGGGGTGCCCTCGGGAGCCTTTTGTACCTCGCCTGCATTTTCAAAATCCTTTGGAATATCCTCCTCTTTGAAGGGCTTATATGTCAACTCCAGCTCAATCTGCCCACGCATTTTGTCATTTTGGACATCGTTCGGGTCCATGTTTTTAAGGAGATCTAATGTCATATGTTTTGCTTCATCGGGTGGAAGCTCCTTGAGAGGGACTACATTCATACCCATCTTGTCATGTTTGCCAACCTAAATGGAAATGTGAGAACACCAATAAAACACCATAGTATCATGAACATTCTCTAACCTGCACCTGGATATGATAAATTAAATAGTTTCCCGCATATTCCTTATATTTAGTCGGCATTTTGATGAACTCTATAATTGCTACACAAACATTTGGCAAAACTCTTCCCATATTATTACAGCTGGAGCTTTTCATTTTTTATTCTTCACTTTTTCCCTGACAATTAAGGAAATTTATTTCTCCCAGAATGATAAAAATAAGTACACTTTAAAAGAAAACAAGATATTCATACCTGCTCCCAGTCATAAACATGAAGTTCTAAAGCTTGTGTTTCAGGATCTTTAACAACAATGCTGAATTCTTCATTCCACTCAGGGTTCAGATTCTTGTGCTTCACTGTGGTTTTCTTTGATGGAGCCTTCGTTTCGGTGAGCTTTAGCTTCACATAAGGATCCGATGCGCCTAACAGATCTTTCTTCCTTAGCTTATGGGCCCGCAGAACCTTTACGTGGAGAATCCCAACTGGCTTCTTCATAGCTCTGAAGGTTTAAAGTTGGTCAGCCACACACGTACAAAAGATCACCCAGGAGCAGTGTCGTAATCGAACCGAATGAGTCGAGCTTGGGCAATTCGAGCTCGTGTTTGTTTACGTTCGAAGAGTGTTCGTTCGTTTATTTTTCGAGCAAAAAATCGTGTTCGGGCTCGTCGTTTAATTGTTCGTCAAAGTTTGAGTTGTCCGTGTTTGAATAATATAGGACATAAACTTTTTAAATATGTTTGATTAACTCGAAATTTGTTCGTTCGAACTCAAAAATAAAAAATAAAATAAAAATATTTTTATATTATAGATTTTTTTATTAAAAATATTATATAAAAAATAAAATAAAATTATATTAGATTAATGTTCGCGAACCTTATCGAACATTCGCGAATTAGCTCGTGCTCGTTCGATTATTAAACGAGCCTAATTTTTTGTTCGAACTCGGCTCTATTAATAAACGAACGAGCTTTTTTCAAACACGAAAGAGCTCAAACAAGCTTTTGTTCGCTAACGTTCGGTTCATTAACAGCCCTACCCAGGAGCTAAGGCTGATATACAATCTGTACATATGAAAACATACTTTGTGGGATCCAGAATTTGCACTTCAAGGGTTTTAGGCCACAGGTACATGTTAGCAACTTGATCTTTGATGAGCTCCTGTATGTAGTTTTTCCCCCTCAGACCCATAAATAAGGGAGGGGTTTCATTGTAATGGTTAGAAAAAAGTTAAACAGATCGGAGGAAAATAAAACATATATTGGAAATACTAAATCACAGTACAAACGAACATTAGGTGTTAAGAAATGACGAGGAATACCTGCACAAACCGGTACAGGCCAGGAACCGACATGAGATCAGCACCCCCAAGCCTTAGTCCGAAATCAACATGCGGCTGGGCGGGGAAAAAATAACTAGATCAGCTCAGACAAGAGAAATGGCTTTAGAAAGAACTTGATGCATGCATGTGAATATTTGAGCAAATAAGTGCATAAAATCACCTCAACTTCTAGCGAGTAAATCAAAGAACATCAAATGGAATATTTACTCTTAAACATTTGAAAACTACATACAGGTATATGAAAAAAAATTAAGCAGCCACTGACAAGAAGTTTTAAGCCTCGAAATTTAGAGAAGTTAACCAGCTCTTGGTGTTCTAATGCTCCCATATTTAGATTCAAAAATGAGAAAAATAAAATATAAAGAGAAATGAGGAAGGGCATAAGACAAAAGAAGCATTAGCAACCTTCTCCATAAGAGACACAAAGATCGTGGCAAAACAAGGAAAACTAGGAACAAGAGGCTTTAGGGTGATACGTGGCTGAGCAAAGACCTGCAAATCGACAACCTGCAACATACAAACAACTTCTTTGTCATGTATGTAACTTATTTATATTTGTCGTTAGTAACTTATTCGCAGGATTAACTCAAGTAGACATAAAAGTACTTGTGTAATTTTATCCATATATAGCATAAATGATAAAATGTTAAAGATTGAAAGGGCCAACAACCTGAACTGTTGCTTTTAGTCCATATGCTCTCACAGCAACTGTGACATTAGGATTTCCTGCCCATTTCAAGGCAGGCTCCATAATCAACTCCTTCTCCTCAGTGAGGTAGACCTTCATGCCTTTCATGGATGTTAGGCTAGTTCAGTTGTGACATCTTTTGCCACACTAAAATAGTACTTTAAACTGAAATAGTGCATCAGAAAAAACACTTGAGCACTTCACATACCTTGAAAGGTTGGTGGCAGAGATCCTAGTGTTAGGGCTTCGAACTCGACAGATTCGATTTTATATTTGGGTATTTGCTCATCAATAATAGGAGTAGCAATGTTTTTAGCAGTCTTGCAAATTGCCTACAAGAAGCATAAGTAAATGACCACATAAAAAATCAACGAGCAAGGCATCTCATACAAGTCGCAAGATAACCAAGTGCCAAAATTCTGGAGGAACGTCAATACCTTGTCGAGGTAAGGCCACATAATCGCCAGAAACTTGTTGAGCCAGTCCATCTATAAACATCAACATCAAACAGTTATCCATAACTATAATGGAATGCTTTGTCAGTTAACAAGTGACCATTAATGACCAAACTTACACGATCATAATCTGGATTCTTCACCCAGAAAGGTATTTCAGGAAGCAATTGCTGCAAACTTTTAGAGTCCTGCTCAGCCAAAGGGCGAATATCTGGGTCCTGATAAAGAATCATAAAGTTAGAAAGAAAATAACATGTTTGAGACCAGATATGAACTAGTATGCAACCCCTCTTCCACATGATATGACATTAGTCCATTCAAGACAAAACCAGAAAACAAAAGCAATGCCAAATGATTATGCTGCAGGTATTAGGAAGAATCTAACTCAGAGAAACTAACATCAAGACAAGCACCAATGAGAAACTCAGCCGTAATACAACAATCCCATTTATTCCTATCTTGATCCAGGTCTAAACAGGGTAGTTCAAATTAACTCTGCCCGTGCATCTTTTCTTTTCTTTTTCGACTCCTAAGACATGGACACATACTTATTAAATCTACTTGAAGTATTATATGAGCTACTCATAAGTTCATTCCAAGTAAAAAACAGAATATTTTATCGCTTCTTCTTAAACCATCGATCATTCGTCAACATTAGATTAGAAAAACGAAAAAATAGTTGAACATACACCCAACGAAGGGTACAATACACTCGATATTGGCAGCCATTTGAGTCAAATTTGTGAAACATTTCAATTGCGTCAACATGGAATCCAAACAATTACGAAGAGCAGTCCACAAGCCAAAAGGGTATCTCCAGTTTCTTTCTACTCAGTCTACTTGAAAACCTCCGATACAAATCTAACAGGTAAACTACTGCAACTTCCCCAACATGGAATCCGAAACATTTACGAAGAGCAGTCCACAAGCCAAAAGGGTATCTCCAGTTCCTTTGTACTCAATCTACTTCAAAACCTCCGATACAAATCTAACAGGTAAACTACTGCAACTTCCCCCACATGAACATCGGCTCATCATCTTCACAGCTCAACGCATTAAACAACGATACCATAAACACGCACACCAGCTAAATCCTAAATCCAACAAACATTTACATACGACAAAAATCACCTGAAAAATGAAAAGTACCATATATATGATCTAGAGCAAGTACCTTAACTTCGCTGGGCTGGAAATATATGAACAGGTAATATCCAACCACAATTCCAGAAGAAACCCCAACTCCAAATCCGCAAAACCCCAATATTGTGCTGATAAATCCCATCTGCAAATCAACTGCTTCTCGTCAAAAATTCAACCGATAGAATGCAAAATATGGAATCAAAGCTTAAAACTCGACTACAAAAACCTTCAAATCCCCCGTTTTTCAGTCACACTGTTCAATCCAGTTTCTTCCCCATTCAAATGCGAGACAAGTAGAATTATTCTAATAATAATAATAATAATAATAAAAAAAAAAAAAACAGAAAGTATGAGTAGAAATTTTTTAAAAGACTTAAGTATCCTTGTGTCGGCCGTGACGTGCACTTATTTTAACGTGGATTTTTTCTTTCCGTGCCCTTCGATGTAATTTGCGTTGGGTATGAGTGACCACGTTGCGTTTTTTGAGGGACTTCTAAAAGGCGAGCATAATGACTTTTCCCAGGCCGAAGCAAAGTTAATATGCTTTATGGGCTGGGCTTTCGCCCATCTGATTATGGGCCAATTTTTGTTGCGTTTCATATTAGATGTGACGTGGTGCGTGGTGAAAAAGGACACTTGTTGGCTTTTGGTTATTCCAAAGTCGTACCTAATAATTGACTTTTAGTATATGTTTGTAGGAAAATGCTACTAAGTACAAAGTAGACTTTTAGTATAAGTTTGTAGGAAAATGCTATTAAGTACATAATAAATATACATGAGGTGTATATAATACTCACATGGAGTGGGATGTACTTGAATTTTTATTTTTGGTAGGACCTACTTAATGTAAGTATTATTCTCTGATTACTTAAATAACACTAATATAATTTTATTAATATGGTAGGTTTATTTGTTATATATAGAAGGTTAATTCTACTATGGAGTCAACTGTTGGCTTCATAGCAAAACCGTACTGAACACATCCTTATATACAACGTTCTTCGTCTGCGAGTTGTTTTTAATCGTCACAAATTAGTATTTTCAATTATTTTTTATTTGTGACTCGCGAAACGTCAATATAAATTTGGTCATGCGTAAATACTAGGTTCTTCAAGTATAAACCAACAGCGATATACAATGTTATTTGTTTATTGTCATGGCATAAGAAACCATTAGGAGTATTGTACCTAGAAAATATCCAAACACCAAACTCCCCAAAAAGTGCAGACCAAATACGGGGTCAAGCCCACGCTAAAGCGAGCGACCCACAAAGACATGCAGATCATATCGCGAACAGCCCAATAACACGAAGTTAAGTATGTCGACCCCCTTATCGGCGGTGCTTGTCGATCATCCCCGAGTCTTCTCAGGGAAGATTGGCGATCATCCCCGACTGAACGCAAAACTGATAAAGTCTATGACACCGCCCAAACTCTCATTCTCAAAAGGAGATATTGCATGGATACATGTAGCCCCACCATACGTCCTTAACTGACATCAAGTATTTAATTTTTTTTTTTTTTACCTTTTTTTGTGTATAAATTGGTCCCTCCGGGTCCTAAACACATAATCAAACATCAGATCGAAAACACCATCAAACACATGACTACAAATGTAGATTTCTTTCCTCATATGGTTGTAATGTACAACTATACATTTACTTAATAGAAATTCTGGAGAACCATTATTCTTAGCCCTCGGCAATATTAATGTCTTGTTCTTTTATTTTTAGCATATTTATTTTTCCAAATCTATTCGTATCTTCCCGTGAATTACGAGAATTACACCATAAATATACCGCAACCCCCAATTAAACCATCTAACTTACATTTATATTAACAAATGACGGTCAACCATCAACAAAATTGCGCTAAAAGGAAAACTACAATCAAAGGATTGAGCCTGTTAAAAATTCAAAGCCTCTATAAATCAGCCCTATAATGAAATTTAACCTTAATAAACAAACAATAATTGGGCCCGTCCATCGCATCCTTCTTGAGGCGGCAAGCCCTAGTACATTAAACACCACGAAGTCAAAGGAAAACAAAACGTGCTACTTAATCTTTAGAATTAGGGCAGTTTTGATCTAATTGTTTCTTCTAATAAACAACTGTTTGTTTATACGGTCAGCCCCTTTCTCATATAGTCGTCTGTCAACCTTTGCGACGCCCCGGTTATCCTTACGGTTGCACGCCTCAAGTACCGCACAGTTCGCGCAATTGATCGCATACTTAGAGCCTCCCCGATCGCTGCGAAATCGACATGCAACGAGCTTGACAATCTCCGGAGCGTCTGATCGCCGATTAATCGGCGGCTTTGGCTTCCGACTGCCGTAATTTGTATGGAAACTCGGAGCCGTAAGAGGGCAGGGGCATCTACAGCGCCAACCTCTTCTGTTCCAACCACACGCGCCGCCAAACGCCTCCGTAACGCGTCCTCATCCGCCGCCACCGCCGCCGCTGCGTCGTCTACTCCCATGGACTCTACCTCGGAACCATCCACCGCCTCTGCTTCCGCCACTCGTGCCCCCCGCGGAAAAAACCCGAGTAATAGTAAGAATTCCGATCATAGTAGCAATAAGAAACGTAGTCATAGTAAAGGCAATGTTAATTTGGACAAGGGTAAGGAGAAGGCGCCTGAAATTAGGCCGGGAAACTCAGGGAGGAGTTTGGAGTCGAACATGGGCTCAAGGGATGTTGCGGACAATGGTAATGGTGGCGCTCCAAACGCAACTGTTCTGGAGGGCTTGTTGAGGAAGATCAGTGCTGAGATGAGTGATATTATAGCCGCGTCATCTTCTACAGCTTCTCAACAAAGTGAGAGATTGGAGAGGATTTTGTCGGACTTGAGGGCCGAAGGGGAGGAGAGCCTGCAAGTGGAGGCGTTAATGGAGCTAACGGAGGTGCTGTCGATGGCGACTGAGGCCTCGCTGAGGAACTTCTCGTATGATTCTTTCGTGCCGGTACTTGTGGGGCTGGTTAATTACGAGAACAACCCGAATATCATGCTTTTGGCAGCTCGGGCTTTGACCCACTTGGTTGATGCAGTGCCCTCGTCTTGTGATGAGGTGGTGCGCTATGGGGCAGTGCCGTGCTTTGTTGCTAGGCTGCTGACTATCGAGTACATGGACTTGGCTGAGCAGGTTAACTAGTTAAAATTGTCATTAAAGTGTAAAAACTTATGGTGCTTGAAATTTCTGACCGGGAGCTGGCAATTATTTGAACCACTCTGCCTTTGTTGTTGACTTGCATATTGGTGTTATTGATAGTTTATGATTGATGAGTTGGTATTTCTGTTTTGTTTGAACAGTCTCTGCAAGCTTTGAAGAGGATATCTGAGGAACAACCGGCAACCTGCTTGCGTGCTGGTGCACTTGTGGGCGTGCTCTCTTATCTAGATTTTTTCCCCACAGGGATACAGGTAGTGGGGACTTGGTACTAGATATCTTGCTTATAAGTTGGAATTCCATTTACTGATGGGTTATCTATTTGGATTAGACATCCTAATTTATTTTTGAATTTTTGACTCACTTTTAGAGAGTTGCCTTGTCGACTGCTGCCAACATTTGTGAGGACCTACCTTCAGATGCTGCTGATTTTGTGATGGAAGCTGTTCCGACGTTGACTAATCTCCTCCAATATCATGATAAAAAGGTGAGACTAAATTTTTTCTATCCGATGTAAGCGTGTGTACTAGTATGTCGTGCTTTTTCCCCGTGGTGTTTTTTCCATGTCTTCTCTTATTATATGCATGTGCTTCGGTTTATTAACAGGTTGTAGAAAAGGCATCTTTTTGCCTCACACGTGTTGCCGAAGCATTTGCTCTTTCACCAGAAAGACTTGATGACCTATGTAGCCATGGTGTTGTTACACACGCAGCTGTCCTAATATCTTCCAGCAGCTCTTTAGGTGGTCAGGCTTCCCTTGGAACTCATACATTCATGGTAAGGACGATGATTCGGTTAAGCATGTTATTTAGGTAACTTGTAAACTTATGTTCATGCTGCATGCAGGACTTAATCCAGCTTCTTTCCACTCTTGCAAGTGGCTCTGCTTTAGGAGCAAAGTCTCTGCATCTCCTGGGAATCGGTGGTATCTTAAAAGACTTGTTATTGGGGACAGGCCAGGCGACAAGCATATCTGTTTCACCTGCTTTTGGCCGAACACCAGAGCAGGTATGAGCAATTTTCTTTGCGCAGCTTGCTTCTTAGCTGTGTCATCCAGGTCTTGCCTTTCTTGAGCCAGGATTTTACTTCCTTTGGTGGTCATGTAAATTGTTGTTGTTTTGGAATGTGGCTGTTTTGCTTGCAAAATTTCGGTTGTTTCGAAAATGTTCACAGTTGTTTCTCTGAACTACTATGCTCTTTGTGAAATTAAGATCTGAGGTGGAAGGAGTAGCATGATATGACTAGTTTGCTATGGGTGATCCCTATCTTAGTGACCAGGGGTGGAATTGTTAGTTCTAAGAGGGTAACGGGTATTAACATTAACTGTAGCACAGTAGCACACGATCTGATTATAAAGTTTTGTTGATGCTGTTCCAACTTGCCTATTTTAGTGAGTAATGCATAGTCATGTAAATTGATATCTGACTAATGGTTTTAAATACAACTGTTTGTAACTTCAGGTTTGTGAGATTGTGAACCTGGCAGACGAACTGCTTCCAGCTGTGAAGGGTCATGCTGGAAACTCTAGCCTCGAGGAAGATTCTAATGGGGGTATACCTGAGGTTTCAACCCGTGAGAAACTGTTGAATGAACAGCCTGAACTTCTGCTGCAGTTTGGGATAGATCTCCTTCCTGTTCTTGTCCAGGTCGGTTTCGAGATTCTCCTGTGTCTTTCTTATTTTATATTATGAAAACATAGCTTAATTATAATTTTACATGGTTTCTATCATTCAGATTTGCAATTCTAGTGCGAATGTTTCTGGCCGCCACAAGTGTCTTTCAGTTATTAGAAAGATTTTGCACTTCAGCACTTCCGAAATTATACAGTCTTTAATAAATGTCACAAACATATCAAGGTATATCACTTTTCAACTCTTTGGATTCCAAGTTTATTTTTTTCCACCAGCGTCATAAGCCCTTTTCTTCTTGCAGTTTTTTAGCTGCGGTTTTAGCTTGGAAGGACCACCAAGTTTTGGTGCTTGCTCTTCAAATAGCAGAAATATTGATGGAAAAACATCCTGGTACGTTCTCTAGGACGTTTGTTAGGGAAGGTGTTGTGCATGCTGTGGATGCATTGATATTGTCTGGAGGAGATAGCAGTTCTCAACAGTCCTGTCACAAGAAATCTAGTAATTTTTCTTCTCGTTCTAGACGGAATACAAGAAAAGATGTTAGCTCCAGTTCAGTTGATAAAACCTCAGATCCAACCGCCAATTCAAGTCCTCTAGTGACAGCGATTGCCCATGCAAGATTGTTCAAAGAAAAATATTTTTCTTCAGATGCAGGCAGTGGATCTGGGGTTACAGATGGTCTCCTCCGCTTGAAAAATCTTTGCACAAGAATGAACATGGGGATCGATGAGCAGAAAAAGAGATCCAAGGGAAAATCGAAAGCCATTGGTGCTCGGCTCAGTAAAAAATCCGCTAGGATAGAGGAAGAATTGGTTGAAATGATTGTTCAGCTTCTACAGGAGCTTAGCAGAGAAGAAGGTGCATCAACTTTTGAGTTTATGAGTAGTGGGATAGTTTCATGCTTACTTAACTACTTAACTTGCGGTTATTTCTCCAGTAAAAAGATTTCCAAAGTTAGTCTGCTCAGGCTTCAGCCACTAGCAATAAGAAGATACAAGTCTTTTGTCTCCCTCTTCCTCCCTTCAAATATTGAAGGGAATCTAGTCCCTATGAGCATTTTGGTTCAAAAGCTACAAAATGCTTTGTCCTCATTAGAGTGTTTCCCTCTTGCATGCAGCCGGTCTACTCATGGTTCATTAGATAGGAATGCAAGTGTCTCATCTGGTTCAAGTAGTTTATCTCGGTCAATCAAACTGCGTCTTTCCCGAGCACCGGAAGAAAAAACACTTGGCGATTACTCTACGAATGTTGTGATTATTAGTGATCCATTGACAAGTCTGGCTGCCGTTGAAGACTTCCTTCTGCCGAGGGTTCAGCAAGATGAGTCTGATCAAGAGCCTTCAGCATGTGCTGGGAAGTCAGGGTCTGAAACAACTCCTGCAGGTTCCTGCTTTCTACTTTTGATTTCTTCCAGTTCCGTTTCTAGTGCTTGTTATCATTCAATGCATTTTTTTATTTCTATTTATACTGGAATAACAATTGGAAAAGGTTTGTCAGAGGAAAAAGATTCTAGCCCATCAAAGGCAAAGGGGAAAGCAGTTGTCACACAAGACCAAGAAGGTGTGGAAGGACCTCAGACTAGGAGTACTGCTCGTAGAAGTTTGGCTCTTGATAAAGATAAGCACATGATGCCATTGATTGAGGACACCTCTTATAAGGTGAGTGACTAGTTTGACTTGAATTCTTTAAAATCGAGCCTCGATTATAGATTCTGTCTTTTGAGATTATTCTCTGTTTGTGACACTCATTGGACTGTATCTCATGTTTACAAACAAAGAAAACCTGTTTGATTTTTATTCATCATTCTTTTTCTATAGATATTCATGGTTTTATAGTTGGTTGTATTGTGGATCATCTGGTGCTCAGAATTTTACATCCATCATCCCTGAAATATTTGGTATTGAGTTCTCTTTCAATCTGTTGTGCTAGTTGCAGGTAGAGGAGTCGGACAATTTGCATGTGGAAAGTGATGAGCAAATGGAAAGTGGAGATGATGATATATCTGATGATGAGAACTACCCTGCCGCCATTTATATTGATGTATGTTGATGGTTTCCGTTTCACACACATCAGTGTTTTTTTTTTTTCTCTCTTTTTCTGGTTCCATTCTTAGAATTGTAATGCTTAACCATAAACCTAATAAATAGATCTCATTTGTGATCAAGTGTACTAAAACCAGAAACCATATATTACTGTGGTTACTCAATAAGCCAAACATATTAACATCATCCATTACTAAAGTGTAGAAAGTAGGTTCTTTCCATGTCCATTGTCGCAGCCTTCCTTCACATGCTCACTGTACTGTATGACCTACTTATATCATCACTATTGACAGGTACAGAGAAGCGCTACTCTTCCTATTTACATGACAAGCATAGTGCATGATATTAAACTGGGTGACTCTTCAGATGACAGTCCTGATAGACAAAATGAACGACCAAGTAGTTCTAGCTCTGCAGGTACTATGGGAAGAGGTGTTCGTGGACTGATATTTACTGCAGAGGGGAGGCAGCTGAATAGTCAAATGACTGTTTATCAGGCAGTATTGGGCGAAGGAAGTGAATCCAGTGATGGTGTATCTAGAGATGGTCGTCAGTTCTGGGATGCCATTCACACTATACTTTACGAGAGCGCTGATAATCAAGCTATGACCTTTTCACGTGGGATTGTTGCATCAACAGCTGAATCTGAGTCTTCAAAAGCTAGTGCTTCTTGTGATTACACTGAATTGTCCTTGAGTAGTATCTCTCTTCTGGATAGGTTCATCCGAGGGGGCCCTTGTGATTTTGAAAGAGAAGACCCCATTTATCATATTCTAGCACTATTGCGTGTACTGGAGGGGTTGAATCAGTACGCACCACTTTTGCGGGTCCAAGTAGCAATCGACAGTTTCGCCGAGGGGAAAATTTCTAATCTAGAAGAACTTAATATGAGTGGAGCCAAGGTTTCTCCGGAAGTTTTTGTAAATAGAAAGGTTACATCAAAATTGGCTCAAAAAATTCAGGACACTCTTGCCGTTAGCACATGTTCCCTTGCGTCTTGGTGCTACCATCTGACAAAAGCTTGCCCATTTTTGTTCCCTTTCGAAACCCGTTGTCTGTATTTCTATTCAACTGCTTTTGGATTTTCTCGTGCGTTGCATCGGCTCCAGCAGCTGCAAGGTTCTAATGGGCATGGTACCATATTAGAGCGCCAGAAAGTTCGTGTCCACAGGAACCGAATTCTAGATTCAGCTGCAAAAGTCATGGAGATGTACTCTAGTCAGAAAGCTGCTCTTGAAGTTGAGTATTATGGTGAGGTTGGCTCCGGATTAGGGCCTACCGTGGAGTTCTACACTCTTTTGAGTCACGAACTTCAGGAAGCTGGATTAGGAATGTGGAGGTCAAGTTCATATTCTGGACATATGCCTCTTAGGTTGTTTCCTCGCCCTTGGCCAGCCACAGCTGATACTTCGGATGGTAGCCAATTTTCCAAAGTTATCGAGTATTTCCGGTTGCTCGGGAGAACAATGGCTAAAGCTCTTCAAGACGGGAGGCTTTTGGATTTGCCACTGTCAGCAGCCTTTTATAGGCTTGTTCTTGGTCAAGTAAGTTTATTTTGATTGTTTCTTGGTCAAGTATCTGTGGGGCTTTTTATTCATCGTTTTATGTTTTCTTAATTTTAACAGGAGTTGGTTTTGCACGACATCATTTCTTTCGATCCGGAACTTGGGACTACATTGCAAGAATTGCAAGCCCTTGCATGCAGGAAAAAGTACTTGGAATCTGTGAGAAGCTATAATCCAGAAGAGCTCTATTTTCGTGGATCTTCTGTTGATGATCTTTGTTTAGATTTCTCCCTTCCAGGCTATGCAGATTATATTTTGAGAGCAGGCAATGAAATTGTAAGTTGTTTGCTCATCTATATCGGTCAATGCAACCATCTCACCACACCCTACCCCAATATCCACATAACTTTTCTTAATCTTTTTCTATATTTTTCCCCCATTTATATTCTACTGAAATTTTATAGGTGGATATAAGTTCTCTGGGAAACTATGTTTCCCTTGTGGTTGATGCTACGGTAGGGACTGGGATCATGCGACAAATGGAAGCATTTAGATCTGGTTTTAATCAGGTTTCTATTTTATCTTAACTCACACTTTCTTTTTTCTTGGATATGTGCCTGGAAGCTCGTATTTATAGATTGATTGCTATTCAACCTGTAAATTCTATTCTGATTGAGTTATAATCCGCTGTGTTGCTTATGTACTGTATGAAGAGTGCCATGTCATAATGGGGTCGTCCATGTGGAGACTACTTTTCAATTGGCTGTCGAAATAGTGGAAATCTTTGTTCATTTTTTTCTGGCCTCTGGGCATGTTTGTCTTAAGTGTCTGTTATTTTCTGGCTGTTAGGTGTTTGACATCTCAACTCTGACAATATTTTCTCCGAATGAGCTGGACCAGTTGCTGTGCGGCTGCAGAGATATGTGGAAGGTAATAATAGGTGCCTCGAAATCAAACGTGATTCCTCATTTTCTCCCGTTTACAATTTTTTTCTTTTCTTGCAGGCTGAGTCTCTCGTGGACAACATTAAGTTCGATCATGGATACACTTCAAACAGTCCTGCCATCATCAATGTATGTAAACCTTGAGTAAATATTAAACACTTCACATATAAAAATAATATACAGACGTGTAACTATATCTAATATGATTTTTCAGCCGAGTTTCTCTAGTAACTTTAAACAAAATTTACTTCCTCTATGTCCTTCATATTCATTTCCCTATTTATGATTGTGTTTTTTCAGTTTCTTGAAATCATGGGTGAGTTCACTCCCGAGCAGCAAAGAGCCTTCTGCCAGTTTGTCACCGGTGCTCCTCGGCTTCCGCCAGGTGGACTTGCGGTGCTGAACCCTAAGCTGACTGTTGTCAGAAAGGTACATATTTTGCCAGACTCTGTGGATGATGACTTGCCGAGTGTCATGACTTGTGCGAATTACCTGAAGCTTCCACCATACTCATCTAAGGTACAAGTCACATGACAATGGAAATCACATGCTTTTCCTTTTGTTCTCTCCATGTTGAGCTGTCTTATTATTTTTTCTGAAGATGATAAATGCTAGTAGTACACTTTGGGTTTTTTCGCCTGTTTATAAAAAAAATATAAAATAAAAGGATATGCATTTATCTTTCTGAGATACATTTAGGCTGTTGACATTTGTTCCTACTTTATAAATTTCACCCTCGAGAGGAATTCGTTAAGGGCTTAGATGGGGTTAGCCAGTAGTTTTCCAGGATAACGAGTTTCACTAATACTTTGTTCTTTTGTTTTAGGAAATTATGCACAATAAACTACTATATGCTATTAGTGAAGGTCAAGGATCTTTCGATTTGTCATGAATCGTTGGATTTTGCTGCTACAGTGGAGGTAAATCGTCATTTTGAAACACAAATGCAGCATTTAATCGTGATTTGTTTTTTATTCTTTTGCCTCGTTGATTTCACTCGTTTAATTGTCATTTCTGAGTGATTATCTGTTGTTTGCTCCACCTAAGGTCCTAAACTGTTACATAATTTTTCCTTCAGGTTGATGAAGATGCTGCCTGCGATCTTGAGGACTAGCGTGCAAAGGATAATTTTTAGTATATAAGTAGCTTGTATATAATTATACTTTTCATATATTAATCAGCGAATAATGACTTTACAACTTTTTTTTTTGTTCGTGTTTGGTAATTTTAAGCTATTCTTTCGTTGCTCCGGTGGTGGATTTTTGCACTTTATGGAAATAAGAAAGGAAGATTTTATTCAAATAATTAGCTTGGCTCTGTTTGGTATTAGAAGCTGGTGAAATTTGGATTTGAAAGAACTGCATACATTGAAACCTGTTCCAATATTTGCTTGTTCAATAAGTAAGTAAAATGTATATATTTTTTTTTACAGATGTAACTTAAAAATTCCGAATTATAATGGGCATTACTATTTACCGCCACCCTTATTACTATGTACCGCCTCCTTTGGACATTTTTGCCCCTGCCATTTTTTTCCAAAAAAAAAAAAAAAAAAATTGTCCGGCCGCCGAAACCGGACGGCCCAAATGGCGTCCGGCCCCGACGGCCGGTCGTGACCGGTCCGACCGGCCTGACACATGTTTTTTTTTTAATTATATATATATATAATAATATTATTATAAATTATTATGTTATATATTCAAAATAATTTGTTATAAATTGGACATTAGAATAAAAAAAAATTCATTCAACTAAAGTTTAGCAAAACAAAAAAAACCATTCAACTTAAAAATAAAAAAAAAAAATACCATTGATGCGATTTTCGATTGCTCTGTAACACGAACGAGTCTGTCTCTACAATCGAAAAATTATGTATTGTTTTAGGGTCTACTAACACCCCGAATTAAAAATATAAAATAATAATTAGTAAATATTTTTTTGCTAACAAATTACATATATATTTTTTAATATATT